GAATCAACTGATTTTGTATCTGCACCAGAACTGCATGTAAATTCCATCCTAGCACTCAGGGAAAAAAGCTTACAGAACTTACAGTTCTATATATTATATGTGAAAAAATAACCTTCTTTTCTTTAGTTTTTCTTTAATTTTCAGCAATGTTGCTGCGGTGTTTTGTTTCACTTTATCCAGATTTATTTTATTCATTTAAATTTAGTTTATCCACTAAAAATCTTTGGTGAAAGCCATCTGAATGTGTCTCTACATGTAACACTTCTAAATAATTTACCTGATTAGGAAAATGCATCCAGAAATCTAATGTTAAGAAAATTAATTTCTGTTTTAAAGAACAAATAGTAGACACTGTACCCAGCTGTGTTGGAAGCCCATCTCATGCCTCTCTAGTTCAATTCAGCACTATAACATTCCCAGAGTCACAACTCCAAGTTGTGATACTGATACTTTTGAATTAACAAGGAAATAATAACACCCTTTGTACAGGGTACAATGTTAACATATTACTATAACCTAAAGGATTGCATATTCCCTTTCTGAAGAGCTTTCCAGAAACTATTCAGTCATTCTGCTCACTTTAACTATGCCCCTTGAGTCCACCAAAAACCAGTTTTTTCAGCTTTTGAAATTGCAACACAATAATGGAGATTTCCTCAATCAAAGTAATAAAAAATAACTACAGAAAAGTCAGTAACAAATCTATGTTTGAGATGGGTCTTTGCAATTTGATATTTTCCCTTCTGGTTTGGCAGAATGAGCAGTTAAGCCTGTGCTATCTTAAATAATTTCTATGAACGAAAAGGTATTTCCAGCAAGGATTCATCCTGGTTGATTCACTTCCAGGATTAAAACACAAGTGGAAATGAATTGTCCCATGGAGCATACACATTTAACTGCATTTCAATTTCAGCAGATTGAGTTAAAAAAGACCTAGATGAAAAAGAGCAAACACTCCTAAACATGTACTTTCATGTATAAACACATGGTTTATTATAGTAACAGAAAATGTTGCTATGAAAATTAAACTTAAATCTTTCCCAGAGGAATAAAACTGAACACACTTTAGCCTCTTTAGTAACGTGCCAAATTAATTTCTATGGCCTCTGATTTCACTCGAATGAAGTAATTGTTTTATGCCCCAAAGGGATGAAAATAATTTTTCTCTTGTATGTCTAGAAATCAGAACAGCGATTCTCCCTATGAGCAAAGCACAAGCTTCCTTAAGCAGACCCCTGGTCACTGCAGACCCCTGCTCTCACCACTGTCATCTACAGAGTCCCCTCACCCCTGGCACGGGGCAGGGCTCTCTGTGGCCCCACCTGACTGAGGAGAACCAAGACTGCCAGCAAGAGCTCCTTCACATGCAATGGCTGTGCACAACGTCTCTGATGGGAACAAGATCCCACCTTTGTGAAACTGCTGGCACAGGATGCTCTTCTCTATAAAATCACCTCAACCTGTCTTTCTGACGACAGACAGCCAAGATCCAACACATTCACCCCAAATCCCTTTCACAGATCATGCTGGTGGGCACTGTCAGATGCTGTAAGATTTGATTTCTTTCTCAGATAGTCATTTGTGGAGCACCATTGTGGAGGTAGGATGGAGAAGGACACCATCTCAATAACTGCAGAGCTAAAGTACATAATTTTCCAGCTCAGACCCCAAAAGTGAGCTTCACATTTCCTGGAAGGGTAAGGGTCCAGAGGAGGGCCACAAAGATGCTTGGGGGGATGGAGCACCTCTCCTCTGAGAAGAGGCTGTGAGAATTGGGATTGTTCAGGCTGGAGAAGAGAAGACTCTGAGGACACGTTATCAGAGCCTTTCAGTACTTAATGGGGACTTATATGAAAGATGGGACAAACTTTTTAGCAGGACTTGTTGCTACAGGACAAGAGATAATAGTTTTACACTGAAAGAGAGTAGACATAGACTGAGTATTAGGAAGAAGTTGTTTTTTTTGGTATAAGGGTGGTGAGACACTGTAACAGATTGCCCAAAGAAGCTGGGGATGCCCTATCTCTGGAAACACTCAAGGCCAGGTTGCATGGGGCTCTGAGCAACCTTATCTGGTTGAAGATGACCCTGCCCATCACAGGAGAATTGGACTAGATGACCTTCAAAGTTCTATTCAAACTCAAACTATTCTATGATTCTGTAATTCTAATCAGCTGCCAGTCCTGTGTCCTACTACAACTGCTTCCCGTTTCAGTAAAGAACAACAAAAAAGCCCCAGGAGCAGGAACCAAAAGCAATGGCTGCTCCCATCCTACACAGCTGGCTAACCACAATAATAGATAAATATTCTACACTTCTTTCCTGACCTCAGATTTTTCATTTTCCCTTGCTTAAAGGCCGAGATTTAAAAAAGAAGATGAAGGGGGTTCTGTCTCATCCAAGGACTAGCCTAAAGCACTACATTTTTATATCTATAAATAGATGAGTCCTTAGTTCAGAGGCAGGTGCCATGCTCAGGAGAAAGTTCAAGCTGTGGGCTGCATGTGGAGACCAGCACTTTACTAAGGCAGCTTCCAAAACCCTAAGAAGGGGTGGATTTAGGAATCACCTCTGCAATTCCTCATAATGCTATTACTAGTCTGCTCCTTGCACAGCATGTGACATTCTCATACTGTTCAACATTCCTAACCCTCCTCTAAGCACTGTGATTTTGTGTTCTGGATAGTAGAAATCTAAGACTTGCTGTCTGCATGACTGAGAATAGCCCATATTTCTCAGATACTGTATTTATCCAACAGCAGAGATAATAAGCCATACCTCCATCTTCAGTGAGCTTTTAGGGAACATATCCAATCTGGAAAATAACATCTCAAATGTGAAATCCCATGGTTTAAATTCCTTGGCACAGGCAAAGTAACTCTCCAACATGTTTCTGTGATTAAAGAATAAATCCTTAATGATTTTTAAGGTAGTTTTAGCTGTTTTTACATGTTCTAATGCTTCTTCAGTTTCTTCTTTGAAAAGATTTTTGGTGAAAGACACAATCTAGACTAGAGTGTAAATAAATGAACCACAGGAAAAAAAATTAGAAGTTACTTTTCAAAACATAGTCATGACATCAGTCATAAAGTTACTTTTCAATTTATATATGAACACAAACACCAACATGTATTATATTTTAAAATTTTTATCTCTAATGATTCTAGTTTTATAATTATCTCATAATGCAGTTCTCACTTTTGAGGTGCTTCCAGCGCATCCTCAACCTGCCCAGCTAGACTGACTCTTCTTCTGTACAGTGAACATTCAGAAAATAACACAGCAAAGGGAGTTCCTTCCTCTCAGTAAAAGTGATATTGGAAATTTATTCACCTGTTTGACATAACACTGCCATAGCTTTTGGGCACTAATTCTCCTGTGGCATATGTTGTGTCAACAAATACAAAAGAGGCAATTGAGTCCTCTTAGATTTTATCACTTAGTAAACTTGCAGAAGAGGGCTTCCCCAACCTCAGAATCAAACCTAGTACACATGCATATACAATGTGTAATTCTCCTACTTCCTGACCAACAAAATACTCCAGAACAGAGAACCCTACAGAATGTCTTTGCTTGCCAACATTCAAAAGTGCTCACGCCCCCAGCAGTCCACTTGGTTTCAGTGGAAGCATGGGGAAAGCTTATTGACCACAAAAAATGCCTCAAGGCAGGTCATTCACAGCTTGTTTGCAAAGCCCATATTTTCTTGGCTTGTGTAGCTCTTACCAGCATTTTGAAATTCACAAACAGAAATACCTACTAAGATATGTGATAAGAAAAGAGGCAGCAAACTTATACCAACAAAAGAGAGTAAGGAGCAGCAACCCGTCCTGAAAAGGTTATATGGCTTCTAGAGAATTTGTTTCTAGACAAGAAGCATATTTTTTTCTTAAGTACACAGTACCTGTATGCCTGATGACTATCTGACAACTATTCATCTCATCTTCAAATTTAATAATCTAAAACTGGTTGAAAGTATCTGTAATGTAATTTTAGTGTTTATTAGGCAGTTAAAAGACAGGCTAGGTCCATGTCTTTTTTAATAGTGTCCTGTGTACCAAGTAACATTTATTTCTTAGGTGCTTAGGTGGTTTACAATCCTTACTTGAAGCTACCTGAGCACCAAGTAGTTTGTGACTTACAACATACATAAATACAAAATATGCATCTCACTCATTTGACCCTTAGCATCTTCTATTTCCTTGAGAATGTCCTGGAAAGCTGGGTAACAGCTGCTTTCTTTGGCTTTTAAGATACTAACACTTTTTTTTTAAATCCAACAACATTGAAACTATAGTTTTACAAAAAAGAAAACAGTTGGAGATCATGGTTGCCTGTCAAAAATATAGAGCTTACAAGTATGCTCAGAGAGTTAATGAATAAATATGTCCCAAGCCTACTAGCAAATAAAGACTGATAAATGCTGGCTGAAATCCTTGGAAAGGTCAAAAAAAGTGGGGAATGAACTGGATTCTTCACAATTCTCACTCACCTGCCATCATGGCATCACAACGCTATGAATAACAAGCATGGAAATAACACAGCTCCCAACAATTTGGAAAGTAAGTAACCTTGCCTGTGCTTTCGAATTAAAAAGAGCTATTTCGCTTATAACAAGCCATGATTGTTATCATTATTCAACATTGTATGATTCATGCCTAAATTTGGCAATAATTTCCTGAATATAAACTTTGTTCTCAAACTCATTTTCTCCAGAGTGTGAGAAACGTCATGGGAAGAAATTTAGAAGAGATGGATGAGAACAACAGAATCCCTTACAGATATTTAACCCCTCAACATTGACTTCCTCTTATATTTAACTCAGGTTTTCTTCTGTAACTTATGCAAACCCTGATTACTTTGGGAAACTACTATAAATTATTTGCAAAAACAAAACAACATAAAGTTGTTTTGGTGCCTTATTTTTCAAAGTGCATAGAGAAAGACAATCCAAAAGAAAGCTCTCCTTGATGTTTGCAGAAATATCTGAAATCTCTTACTTGTTTATTTTTAAATAAAATGTTGTCTTTTCTTGCTTTCCAGAAGTTCAGCTCAGTTTGGAGGCCCGTATGAAGACCCTGCAGAAGAACAGCAGAATTTCTTCTCACAGTGTCAGGAATCTGCTGTGATCACCATTGATTCAACTGCATGCAGCAGTGTCCTGGAATTAGAACCTTGTCTGCAAAATACAAAGACAGCCCCTGAATTTCAAAGTAAATCCATGACAGTACAGAGCTCTTCACCCCCCATTCCTATATGCACTTTAAGGATGAACAACACTGAAATTCAGAATTTAGCTCTGACTAGCATAAGATTAAAAAAAAAGAAAAAATCCTGAAGACAGAGCTAAAAGACTGTTTATAAAGACACAGATCATATTTCAGCTGTATTTATTAATCAACATCATGCCCAAACACCTTCTCAAAAATTACTGGCTGCAGATCCTTTGAATGGTTCCTTGCAGTTATTCCAGAAGTGAAAAAACTTGCATTTTACTTTCCTAATGTTATGTGGTAATTTGTTTTTCCAAATAAACATGAGAGTTAACATAAACATAAAATATTAAATAGATCTTATTTAATAGATTTGATTACACTTTGCCAGTGTTTACAAATAGAGAAACTAATAATACACAACAAAGCATTTTAATAAAATATTTATGGAGCATTAAAGCTTACATTCTGTTCCACACTTCATTTTTTTTCCTTTCACTTAAGCCAGTTCCTCAGTTCTGCCTCGGTTTTAGCTGAGTTTTTAGTACTTACACTACTCTGCTTGGCACACCTGCTTCATTGCCATGACACAGAGCAGGGAGCTGACCCTGGCCAGAGCCTTCAGGTCATTTGTTATTGACAGGATCATAAACCTAATTTATTCAACAACTGATTATCAATCATCTCTTTACACAGTCCCAAACTGAAATCAAGACTTAGGTTTGCTTAAGCTGTGAGCTCTCTGGAACACAGCTCATATTACTGCTGTTTCTGCAGGTAAGAGAGGCACACCTGAATAATTAGTGTCACTCTCCTTTCTGATGTCACCATCCTTTGATACTAGTGTTAGTCTCATCAAACACAATAAGATGCCCAATATGATATAAGTTTAAATCACTTTAAATGCTCAAGGCAACAGAAAAGTGAAATTTATTGAAAACACATTTAAAAGGTAATTCAAGTAAATAACCCTATTTTGTACCCTGGAAGTGTAGCTTCAACTGATTCCAAATTCTCTACAGACTGCTTAAGTCTTACCTTTGAAATTAATAAACCCAAAATATAAATTCCTGAAAATTCATATTTCAATATGACAAAACAATTGCACTTTTAAAAACACTAATTGTACCAAAAATTTAAGACATCTTTCAGTGCCAAACATCAAAACTGATAAGTAACCTTTGAGTTACCAAATTCAGGGTGATGAACCCTTGCTATGAAGTCAGTTTTAGGGCTCTGTGCAGCTAAAGGTGTGCTGCTACATCCATAATGTGTCCCACTGATTCCTTTCTGTGCCAGTGACTTACAGAAGAAGAAACTGGAAAATAACACATAAGGAAGCAATAAGGAAAATAGTGGTGAAAGTCTGCTTTTGCATAAGTAGTTACAAACTCATGGTGCAGTTTAACTTGTTTTGATAGTGAAGACATGAACAGCACAAGAACAACCTCAGCATAAATGACCAACAATTGCAAAAGCAACAGGTAAGCAAGTGGGCAAAAAAACCTGGAGGAGCTAGGATGAAAACCACAGCACTTCTATTTGTCTACTTTAACCATCATCCTTCTCCCAAAATCTAATTTATTAGGGCCTGGTAGAGCAACAAACAGCTTCTCCAGCACCTCGAAGCTCAGGCTCCATCCTAGCCTGCCCCTGAGCACCAGCAGCTGCTCCAGGGCAGCAGAAGTCTGCTCTCCCAGAGCCCATCCTCCCCTCCTGAAAGCCTCCTGACATCTGTCACGCTGGTCAGCTCCCATCTCATCCACGAGGAGGGCATGCCTTACCCTGCTTGTGTGCTCCCTGGAGACTCATAAGGCAGACATTAATTTAATGAGTTCATTTGTGGCTTTATGAAGTAATTTATGCTTCCTTAACACAATAAACTCCTTAACCTTTAACGGCCTTCATAAATCTAATAGGGTTTGGATTTGCTCCAGTATAGGAAAAAGGAGCAAAAATGTCATTGGAGGGGTTATTTTTCTGTTTTTGAACACTAAAGCCATATTACGAGATGTAACTACTGGATTTAAATACCAAAGTTATGAATTAAATTCTTTTTGTGTACACACTGAGCGAGCAGTAAATTCATGTCAAAACCTTTTATTTCTCTTTCAGTTTCTCCTTTGCAAAAGGTTGTAAAATATTTTAAAATAAATTTTAAGCACTTTGTGATTACAAATACTTTGTTGTTTTGGTTTGTTTTTTAAAATAACATAAACATGGAAACTGAAAGTTACAAGATACATAAGATAGAAACTTTAGCAGGTGATCTGGGAAATCCTGTCTTCTCTTTGCAGAATATGCTAGTTAAGTAAACAGCCACAATAGTGCTACAGATACCACTTGTGACACCCAAAACTTATATATTTATTTCCCTAACATCAAGCCAAGGAAAAAAGTAATCCCATTCTCATTTGAAGCAGAAACACCTAAGCCAGCTGAATGCCTGTATCAGTTTTTACAAAAATTAGCTTCCTTAATAAACACAGATTTAGCAATGAACTGTGAACTTAGCCGTCAACTTCCTCTTTTCTTTATGCTTGTCATGATTTGCTCTGGGTCTTTTTCTTTTCCCTACTAATCTTTGAAAAAAACCTTGACCTTTCCAAGCTGCCCAACAGTGGATTTCAGATGCATTCAGGTTGCTGTGCTTGGAATCTTTCTGCTTTGATGTTGATGGGAGTTTTGTCATGGGCTTCAAGCGGGAGGAGATTTCCGTCTCGGTGGGGGAGTTGTGGTTCTATCCCTGCCCCTATTCATAACCACTGCCTCTCAAGATCAAACTGAAAAGATAATGACCAGCCTGAAATCTGAACACTGCTAACAAAGTACTAGCAGACAAAAAGAATACTTTTCATCTTCCTGCCATTGCCATTGGTATTTATAACAATATCTGTAATACTGTAGCAAAAATGGCACACATTTATTCCCTCTTTGAAACTTCATTTTCTTCCATAAAAATGCAGGAGTGATAATTAAAAACCTCTGTGAAAACTGCTTGGCTTTCCTCGTCTTAAATTTGGGTTTCCTCAACTCTAAGCTATGGACAAGAATCACTACATTCTTTTCCCTCCAGCCAAAGTTTGGACCTGCCTCTGTACATCAGAAAATTTTCCACAGGACTGGAGTATTTACATTTAAAAACATGTTACTTTTATTAGTCAAACCTTTGCAAAATTTTGGAAAAGAGACCCAAAAAGTCAAGATCAGGACCAGAGGCATGACTTGGGAGCTGGAAAGAACAGTACAAAACCTTTAATCCATGATGTTGCCTTTTTGTACCAAGTGTAAATCCACTGTTGCTATAAGACAGAGTTTTCAAAGCAATTTTAAGTGAAATTTTATTGCAAAGGTAGGAGTCTGGTCTGATTTGCAGTCTCTCTCTCTCCTTTTTCTTCAAAGTGTTCATATAGACTCAGCTGAAAAGTTGAAAACTAAGTACTTCATGTTAGTGCCAGAACATTTACAGCACAAAAATTATCCTGAATATTTTGTACCTAGTCCTAATTCTAAGTGTCTTCTACATATTATTAATAAAGCAAGAGATTTCTAAAGAGCTTTATGACATGTACACTAAAGGTGTTTTTCTTTAAGAAAATCTTATACAAGAAATTGTGTTTATAGTGTAGTCCTAATAACTCTTACGTGACACATTGTGAAATCTTGTGTACAAATCTCTTCTGATTTACATTTCAGAAGCAGCATAATTTTAGGAAGACTCATGCAAAATTAAATATTCCTTCTCTTATTATCTTCTTATGAGCTTTCCCCCTTTATGAGCTGCAAAAGTCTTTCATCTTGCAGCTTAATAAACTGCTTTTACATCATGTCGTCATCAGGGAGCTGAGTGGAGGTGATGATTCCTCGTGTGCCCAGCTCTGGTGTGGCAGCTCCACATGCAGGAGAGGCAGTTAGTCACACTGCCCACGAGGGAAGTGACTCATGCCTCATCTCTCACAATGATGTACACTGGACAAGAGGTGCATCACCTGGCACTCTGCTGGGGGTGGCTCTGGAGACTAGAGCACAAGGAAGAACATATCTTTCATGCAGTAAACAATTCAGATGACAGCAGTCACATCCATTATACAAAAGGCAACAGAGAGAAAGGGAGACACACAGAACTAAGAGTACACAGAACTAAGCCTCCAGCAACAAGTCACTTCTGATGATTACATTAGAAGTGGGATAGCTACTTTCTAAAAAGAGGCACTTTCATAAGAGCTATTTTGCATCAGTTGTCTCTGGTGCCAGTTAAAATATCATTCTCTTTTTATTTTCTTTTTTTTTTCCTGCTTTATCACAAGTATTCAGACACAAAAACCTCTTCTACGAAAGCCACTGTGTGGTGGAGAAGTGTTCGAGCCAGCTCCCCAAACTGAAGGTCTTTTCTGATGCTCTCCATCCCAAGGTACTCTGTAGTGTTCCTCACAGCACAGACAGCTTTCTGCACCACCACACATGGCACCCAAATCAGGTGAGAGGCAGGTTATTGGTTTGACAATACCACATTTTTACCACATTTCTCTTCAGACAGACTAAAGATGAGGATGGTTTCAGCTGCCCATCAGAGCTCTCCAACAACTGATGCATAATAGAAGCCAGAACCTCAGCACGTTTGGTTTGGACAGAGTGAAGAAAACATGATATGTAAATAGGAAAGTTTCTAATCCAGAAAATGTTTTCCCGAACACTTATACTACGCAAACATACATATTCCTTATTTTTCCTCCTAAACTTGCTTTTCCAGCTCTCCTACAGATATTCATTGACCTTTCCCAAGCCTCTGGGCTTGGAAATATGATCATACACACTATCTTTTGAAAACCATCCCTGGATATGCCATAACACCTTTCATCAGTGCCATATTTTAATATACATAACTGAATTTAGTCATCTCCGTCCTGTCAAAAATCTGTATAGTCTTATCTTCCAGAGACCCTTATTGGTACATAACTGATATAGAATCAGATACCAGCAAGTTGCATTTAGGAGATGAACCAAGACTCTCAGCTATGTTCTTCTGTATATACTTGACTCCTTAAATTAGTGGGAACTAGAAAATATTTCTGACAGCATAATTTCATCATAAATTGTGTCTTCACGTCCAAAAATAAACCACCTCTTCAGAATCTTCTTTGCCAGGGCTCAGTATTTCACGGCTTGGCAGCTCTGCAAGCTACTGTGAATTTCTCTGCTTGCTCAGAAATACAGAACTGAAATTTTCATTGAATCAAAATGCTTTTAGCCTACCTGAAAGATTTAACAGCCATTACTGAGTACAGGCTAAACTGAGTGCATAAGCATGACTCCATCGGTAGAAGGATGGGAGGGAGAAGGGGAGCGGTGCTTTGCACAACTGAAGTGTTCACAGATTTTCCTGTTGGACACTACAGTCATGAAAACAACTCATTTGCTACAAATATTTTAACTGGGACTGAGTTTTATACAGTTCTTGCAGTTCTAGTTCTCAACACAGATGTGACAGAGCCTGTACAGCAGAGAAATCAATGGCCTTTGTCAAAGTAAATGGCACAGAAGACCTTCAAAACCATTCACAGTCAAGGGAGAAGAGGTCAGGAAGAAGACTGACACTGTAAAGCATCAGTACTTCTACCTCTTGGGTTCTAGCAGAGTTAAACTATTCTTAAAATGCATCCAGCTTAGTGAATAAGAGATACAAGCAGAGCCTCATGGTGATGCAAAGAAAAGATGCACCAAGAATTAATTTTTGAACCTGCTCTGCTGGTCAAACCAAGGCTGTGGAATCAGTCTGAGGTTTTGTCCAACCCTCGTTCCCTCAAAAAAACAATCAAACAACTTTTTTTTTTCAGACTGACACTAAATTCCATCAGGAGACAACACTCTCACTGCCTTGGTTGTTGGTCGCTCTTCAGGTTTGCAAAATAACAAACCCTTCGGAACCGAAAATAAGAACTACAAACCCGCTGCATTTCCCTACTATCCACCCCGGGAGAGGGGGAAATAACACCCTCGGAAATTCCCTGGAAAAAAAGCGCCCGGTGGGCCGGCAGGAGGCACCCGCGGCGGCCCCCGCCGCTGCCCGGCCGCTGCCTCCCGCGGGACCGCGGAGCGGGGAAAAGGAAATCGGCCGGGAAAAGGGGGCTGGGCAGGGAAAAAGGGGCTCGGCGGGGAAAAGGAGGCTCGGCGGGGAAAAGGGGGCTCGGCCAGCAAAAGGAGGCTCGGCCGGGGACAGGGTCTCGGCCGGGGACAGGGGGCTCGGCCGGGAAAAGGAGGCTCGGCCGGGGACAGGGGGCTCGGCCGGGAAAAGGAGGCTCGGCCGGGAAAAGGAGGCTCGGCCGGGAAAAGGAGGCTCGGCCGGGGACAGGGGGCTCGGGGCCGGCCCCTCTCACCTGCCGCTGCCGGGGCCGCCTCGGGAGCCGTGCTGGGGCACGGGACGCAGCTCCGCTGCCGCGGGCTCAGACATTTATTGCCCCCACGCACATTCCCCTCGCCGCTCCGTCCCGTCCCGCCGCTCACCGCGTTCCCGTCTCCCCGGGCATGGCTTCCCCGGGCCCTTCCCGCTGCCGCAGCCGGGGCACGGCGCCGCTCCCTCCGCCGGCGGAGCGGAGGCGGCCCGGTCTCCCCGCCCGGACGGCCCCGGGGCGGGAGCGGAGCCCATGCGGGAGGGGCCGGGGGCGGAGGGCACGGCAGCGCGGCGGGGTTCGAGGGAATTCGGGACCGTTCACAGCATCGAGTCCCTACGGAGCAGCACCGGCGCATCCTCCCCCGCGCCGCCGGGAGGGTGTGAAATACGAATCTCCGTCTCAGCATCTCTCTCCTCAAATGTGTACAAAAGTGCCATAAATTAACTGTTTGTTGCCTGCCCGTACCTGCTCCCAGGCGCGCCCTGGGGATGCCAGGACAGCGCGTCCAGAGGGAGTGGTTAGACACAAACCGGACAACAAATGTCCGAGTCCCATTCGGGGCTTCAGAACAACCACTGGGACAGGTCCCACCGGATCCCGCGGGGACACAAGGACAAGGGGCTCAGGAGGAAGCAATGCGCCGACAGCGGTTTTGTTTGGGCAACTCTTAGTTAAACTTCAGGCCATGAGAGCAGCAACCCCCTCTTCCACCGCGGTGGGAGGACAGCTGCTCTCTGAAGTTATGCTCACTGTGCAACAAACATTTCCTACCGGGATTTAAAACTGCTCCTTGGCGTGCTTTTTGCAGGAAAAAAAAAAAAAAAAAAAAAAAAAAAAAAGAAAAACAACCCAAAAACCGGTCACTAGTGTTTGCCTTCACAGCTGCTAAAGCTGCCTAACTGTATCTGACTAGGCACAAACAAAACACAGATATTTTCATAATACATGTTTTCAACCCAGTGAAAGCAAAATATCTGTGGATGTCTGAGAAAAACAGCCATTATGTCAGCTGCAAGGAAAGCCAGCTTCACTTGGCGTGTGACAGGTTTCCCTCTGAGGTTTCTTCAGTTTGGCACTTAGAGGCTGCTCATGCCTCTACCAGCTTATGGTGGTCTGCAAGCTGTAGACCATCTCTGTAGACAGCCACTCATCCCAGAAAAAGTTGATTTCTATCATGTGACTAATGCAAAAACACCCTTTTAAAATATGTGCCTGCTCTTGGCATGGGCATCTGGAGACCTCTGTGATCATGGCATTATTTTCAGGAAAACATCTAGGATGGAACTGTGAGTTGAGTCTACTACCAATGTACCTTAGAGAGCGGTACCTGTGACTGCACAGGGCTCTCTGCTGCTGTGTGTACAGCTCTCTCAGGAGCTGAGCACTAACAGTGAGGCAATGCCCAGCAACCCACCTCGTGCCAGGCTGCTGCCCCACAGACCTCTGGAGCTGGCTTGCTTTCTTTGTGCAGAAAACTGTAGTGCTGCTTGATGAATTTTACTCTCCTTATTTTGCAGCACACTGGACATTACATTTTTCCCCTGGTTTCTTTTCTGTGAGCACCTTTGTTCTTATGTTCTAAGAGAAGGCGATTACTTTCCCCTCTGCAGGGGTCAGCCAGAATTCAGCAGTGTTGCTAGGGCTGGGAGCTTGGCTCTCTCACCAGTGCCATCCGTTTGCTTTTCATGCTTCACTTGGTCAACATTTAACCAACTTTCAGAGCACTTTTTAACCTTTCTCCCTGAAAATGATTTTTTTTTTTTTTTTAAATTTTACTTCTCATGCTCTTTGGAGACATTGATCTGTGCAATATAGCTCCTCACAGCTAAGGTTGTGCTTCCTCTCTCTTTTCTGGAATCACAGAGTGGCAGAGAAAACACCTGTCTTGGTGTAAGTACAGGGGATTTTCCAGGCTTCCCTTGATGAACCTGTCTCTTGGGTCACAGCCACAGGAGTCTACAAACTAAATGGGCACTGCTGAAAAAATTTTATCTATCTATCTATTGAAGGCAAGTAATTTCCCCATTCCCTATGGTGAAATAAAATAAAACATGCTTTAAAGAAAACTTAAAATATCTATAATCAAACAAGGTTGAAATATCCTAAAAGTTGACCAAAGTATCTTCCTGACTTCTGCAACCTCAGTGACTGTCTTCATAATTTGTCCTCAAGAGTTACTTGCCTTATTGTTTTCTGATAATACTTTTGTTTCTTTAAATCTTATCTCAAATATTCAGCAGAAAGTCTTCTAGGAGTGCGCTTCAGCAAGAATATGGGTAAAAGGTTCGATGCAAATTTTCTAGTTAGCAACTGGAGCTGTAGCACAATGAATACATATATTCAACACAATATATAGAGTAGATATTTGAATTTCTTAGTTGGCCAGTCAGATGGACAATTAACAGATTGTTAACAGACAAATTCAACAGTAATTTGAGATCACAATAATACATTTTGAGGGATATAAGGTGACAGTTGACTAGTTAACTAGACTTGAAAAAGATATTGATCTCTAAGATCTCAGTGAAGTAACATAATAGATGCATTTGTTCTCTGAAATGAAAAAGGTTGGCCCCTTCAAAAAGTAATTTTCTGATCATTATTAAAAACTGCCTGTAGAATTTTCGTGGAAAGCTTTGTTTAGTTCAGCTGAGAGATCACCTGGTACATTCTGTCAAGTCATTTCAATGAAGGGGTACGTGGGGTACATACAGATTATTGTGGTACATGTATTTTTATTTCTTCAATATGACAAAAAGGTAATCTCCATATTCTTTGTCTGAACACGTTTGAAATCTGTTATCATCTTCCACAAAAACTTTCACTTTTGATTTTCCTCCCTGTATCATTGCTGTCCAGCTGGTAGGGGTTTGTTGCAACAAATATTTGTCTCAGTCAGCTTCTTTTCACTGCATGTGCTCCTGTGTGTTTGCTAGATATCTCCTCAAGACCACAGATGATGATTTCTTCTTTTTTTTGGTTTTTCCTACAGGGCACAAGCAGAACTTGAAAGAATGAATGAGATAAAATAGAGACAGGATTAAATTTAGCATTTTTGTGGGTAATGCCTCTTTACATATTGGCTTGTTACATACTCCATTGTTCTCTAGCTCTCTACTCTTCACATGCATATTACCATGTCAGCTACCACCAATTAATTAGATAACAATCTAATATAGACTAGAATTCTTAAGAGTGAGAAATTTTATTCTAACAGTGTGGTAACAGACTACTGTGCTAAAACAAGCAGAACACAGAGGCTATTGAACAGTCACAACTAAAGGAGGAACAAGGGTGCAATCACTAATTATTACTGCTAAATAGCAATATTAAATAGCAAGGTCACCCTCAATGGCAAACTAATTTTGAAATCTATAAGTGTAAAAATAGAAGACTACCCAAAGGTTTCAATCTTAGTTTCGGAAAAGTCTTCAGGCACTTATTTCAACAAAAGTGAAACTTAGAGATGCCAATGTAGAAGTGTGGATTGTGTTTAATGCAAAAGTCACATTTACTACAATACATCTGAACTACACCACTTGAATGTTTTCAGTAAATTGATGTTGGATGCCAGTGAAATCAGTTCTGCTCATATTTAAGAGCAGGAGCTTAAATGTATAATTAGTTCATGTCTTAAGCTCTTACCATGTAAACCAGAGTATTTTTATTCCATCAAGGCTACCAACTTTATTTCTGTGTAGTTTCATGCTGCTATAAAAGAGGAAGAGAAAAAAAGCTGAGGGAAATTGAATTTTTTCTATGTAAGTAGAAAAATCTCTCTGGTTTATAGCAATGTGCAAAAATTGATTGCTTCTCTTAATGTAAACAGATGGTAACATCCAGGATGATTGACATTTACTATGTCCATGCACAGCTCCCAGGGGAATCTACTTTTAATCATATTCTACTCTCTCTGCAAGTCCAGCAGTTAGAAAAACAAACACTATGAAGAATTTGCACTTCCAAAGACCTTTCAATAGTGACTCTCCTGAGTACTCTGTGACTTCTGCTCAAGATAGAAAGAAGCTGCCAGCACCATGTGCTGTGCCAAAAGTAAAAAGCATAAAAAAATGTATATTTGCAAAGGGACTTACCTATTACTCCACCTCTTTCTAGCTCCACATGGTAACTACTAATGGTAACTACTGCTTTTCCTGTTCGTGTTGTATAATTTTAGACTCCATTCAGGTTTCTTTTAGTTCTTCAGTCACCTATTTCGTAATGTACTCTTTTTTTTTTTTTCTTCCTAATTAAGTACTTTATCACCCTTCTCATCCCACTCTCAGGTAATTCTTGCCTGCTTCAATTATCTTGACTTCTTTTCTCTTTATGAGCAGCAGTAAACTGTAGTGACTGCCGTCAATAAAAATGGAAGACTTTAGGGGGAAAAGGTACACCAACCAGCATCCTGTTTATGCTCTGGCTACCTTTTTTTGTCCTTTAAATAAACACTTCTTCCACATCTAGTTACGGAAGTTTCCTGTTAGGAATTGACATAAAATGATGAAAAACCAGGCATACCTAAGCAAAAATTGCGACAGTACAAAAGTAAAATGAGTGACTGGAAAAAATTACTTCACTTGGTTTGGCTTTCACTTTCTTGCTTTTTTCCACTCACCTGTTTAATTATGTATATTAATCCCTTAGATTTTTAAAACGGTAAGCAGATAATCTATATTTGCAAGGCTGAAGTATATAATAAATAAAGTATATAAATAAATATAAGTATATAAATATATATATATAAATATAGTATAAGTATATCAATAAATCTATATTTGCAAGGCTGAAGTATATAATAAATAAAGTATATAAATAAATATAAGTATATAAATATATATATATAAATATAGTATAAGTATATCAATAAATCTATTATTGCAAGGCTGACAAAAAGGAGTTAGCAAGTGAATAGTGTTTTATATACTTGATGTACAAACTCAAGAGCCTTTAAGTCCTGAAAGATATATAGGTCCACTTAGCAGACACACATATCAGCATCAGTTTAAGTTAGGAAACTGAGCTGTGAAAGTAAATCAATATGTTGTTAATTAATTTACTTTAAAAAAAAATCTGAATGTGTCTAGGTCTATGCAGAGAATGCTTCTCTTGCCACTTGCTTTCAGTAGCTTTAAGAATCTTTTAGAACTTTGACAAATGTGTCAACACCAAAAGG